ACTTACCAATAGGACTGTCTCTTGGGGACTTCTTCAGTGGAGTGCCAGAGACGGGCGTGAGAGATCACGTTCAGTACGCGTTCATCTTGGTTCTCTATGTGGTTCTGTGGGTCGTCAACAAGGCTAAGCACTTTGTCGGGAAGACCTTCGATTAACTTGGTCTTGGTAAGCCAGAGGGCCTGCTTTACACCTTTGGGATAGTCAGTCACAAAAAAAAAAAAAAAAAAAAAAAAAAAAAAAAGGCAATTCAGAATGAGATATTATACTTAAGCCCACCTGGCAGCCTCTTGGGGAAAAGGCTGCAAAGAGACAGAGAGTGAGAAAGAGAGCCACCTGAGGGGTCAGAACCAACAATAAGGAGCAGAAACTAGAACAGCCAGATTTCAACTCAACTTCAGGGATGACTGTCTACTGATGGGTGGTTAATGACTGAGACAGTGTGTGCCAGCACCAGAGCAATTAAAAAGGCTGAGATGGCTGAGAGCATAAGGGTCTGTCTGTTGCATTCAGACTGACCCTCCCGGCAATTAGATTAATGGATGCCAACCTTTCAAAGCCCAGATCTCTTCTATTACCTTCTCCTCCCCCCAGTTACTGACAGGAAAAGCCCATATCTACCAAATGTGCCTCATGTATTAAGATGAAACCCATGCAGACATTTAGAAATGGGATTTCTGGATTTTGCAGTGGAGCATAAAAAACCCTGGAATGGGAGTGGAGTTTTAGCCCTGACACTGCCATTGTTCCTTAAACTTGAAAATGCTTGGAAAGTCTGTAACAAAACTCTGGAAGGCACAGAGCTGGAGAAACAGTTGGGGGTCATGAAGCGATCAGGAACTTTACACCCCACTGAATCCGAACGCCTCTCAGAATTCCTACTGGCCCCATTTCACACACCAAGAAACCGAGACCCTCAGAATTTCCACGTCTCGCCCGACGCTACAGAGGGCAGGGGTCCGCGCTGGGGAGAGGAGCGAGGTCCCCGTCCGCCCGGCCCGGGGCCTCACCCTCCAGGAGGCGGCAGCGCGGGTGGAAGACGTGGCAGGTCCGCTCCTTGTACAGCGGATGCTCGTGATCTGGAATCGGCTGGCGGAACCTCGGGTCCGTCCAGCCGCGATCCCAGGGCGGGAAGATCGGCCGCGCCAGGCCGGGCACGAAGTGCATCTTCCCCTCGTAGGTGATGGGCTCCAGCCCAGGGATTTCGTACACCCGGTCCAGGGGAGGAGGCTCGGGCTTCCGCGTGGAGCGGACGCCCCACTCGTACGCCCCGCGTCTCGGGGCCCCACAGCCCCCAAGGCCGAGCCGCCCGGGGCGAGCCAGCGCCAGCCTTGCGGGCCCCGACGCCAACGCCATGCCGGCCGACTTCGTCTCCTCCTCAAGACCTCCACCTGGGCGCCGCCATCTTCCCGTGCGCAAGGCCTGCTGGGAACGAAAGGGGCTGGGCGCCAAAGCTCGTCCTGTGAGTGGCAGCCACTCGAGCCAATGAAGGCCAGGGCATCCTTGCTTTGCCCCACCCCCAGGGGCGGGAGGGAACAGGAAGGATCCGCAGGTGCAGGGAAGCCCAGCCGTGGAGGTGAGTGGTCGTGTTGGGGCAGGGGCGGGAGTAGAACACCTGGACTTCAAGCCCGAACTCGGAGGAACCCGGGCCGCTAACCAGCAGCTGGAGGGCACTTCCTTCTGAGCCCGGGGGTCTTTGCTGTAAAAACAGAATAGAAACGCCGAAGCGAGCGCACTCAGTGGGTGCGCTGTGCGTGTCCTCTCCTCTCCATTCTCTTCTCTCAGCTGCGGGCACTGTTAAGAGTCCCTGCCCTGCACACCAGCGCCGCGGTCCCAGCGCTGAGAGGGGCTGACTTTCCTCCCTTTCCCCCCCTGGAAGCAAGCCAGAGCGACGGAGACGGCCTTTCCTGCTGGAGCAACACCTAGTGATCACATGCCCACTGTGATAGTTTAGTGGGAGAAACAGCAAGTACACAGATAAGCAGCTGGAAAAACACACACACACCAACACCTGGCCCTCTTTCCCCGGGTTTCTCCTCTTTAGCATCTAACACAAACATACTGTATGTTTCCCGCTCTGATCTTATGTAATGACCCTCTCTCACTAGAATTGAACTGTTTTCTTCTCTGATATAGCCACCCCTGGAACAGGGCCTGGCGCACAGTAAATACATGTTTAACGAATAAGTACTAATAGAAGCAAATAGTGTGCATGATGGGGAATGAGGTGGGCCTCGCAGCAGAGGTGACCTTGAAGCAAGGCCTGCAGGGTGAGGAGAGTCATCCAGGTGGAGGCAACATGAGTCAAGGCAAGGCTTAAAGGTGGTGCCTCTTAGACTGAAAAGCTAGAGACGGAAAGGAGGCATGAACCAGGTCTTGAAGATTCACAACTGACATAGCCAACCTCTCGAACAGTTTCCAAAATAGCAGAGAAAGTGGGATTACTAAAACATGGAAAAGGTAAATGTAAGGCAAAGACTGATAGGAATAACCCTTACAATGTATAGCTGCTTACAATAATTGGAGTTCTCTCCCTTATCTCACTTTATCTTTCTTTTAAACATCTTTATTGTTGAAAGTATTACAGATGTTTCCATTGTTTTTGTGTGTGTGTGTTTCCCATTAACCCACCCACCGCCCCTCCCAAGCTTTCACCACACTATTGTCTCTGTCTGTGGGCTATCCATGTAAGTTCCCCAGTTAATCTCTCTCCTTCCCCACTCCCACCTTCCCTCTGAAACTCATCAGTCTGTTCATGGTTCTATTGCAGAAAGTAAGAAATTGGCATAGCCCGGCTGTCATGGCCCAGTGGTTGAGCATCGACCTATGTACCAGGAGGTCATAGTTCAATTCCCAATCAGGGCACATGCTCAGGTTGTGGGCTCGATCCCTCAGTGCGGGGCATGCAGGAAGCAGCCAATCAATGGTTTTTTTTTGGTTTTTTTTAATCAATGGTTCTCATCATTAATGTTTCTTTCTCCCTCTCCCTTTCTCTCTGAAATCAATAAAAATGAAAAATAAAAAAAAGAAATTGACATAAAGAAGGGACCAGACCTCATTCCCTCCTGTTCATACCCGGCACATCACATGCAATTAAAAATAGGTCAAGTTGATATAGCACCATGCTAGGCTGCAAGCTCTGTGAAGCCCATGTCTCCTTTACCTCTGTGGCAGCCCAGCACCTACCACTGTGCCTGGCTCGCAGACTTTTTTTTATAAACGGAATGAGCACTTACCACTCACCAGAGCCTTCCAAATGCCTGGCCTGAGCTTGGTGGGAGAGTACAGAAAAATAAGACACCACCCTTATCCTCAAGGAGGTCCCAGCCTGCTAAGCCTTCCTGAAATAGCACCAGTAGCAGAACCAGGTTTTCTGAAGCCAAATCCTCTCCTCAGTAAGAGATAGATTTATTGCACACAGGGGAACTGCCCTTCTAAAACCAGTGAGAATAAGGGATAAGAAAATTTGGACAAACTGATCAGGAAGAGCCTTGGGCAAGAAGATTGGATTCAGTCCAGTGGGCGATGGGGAGCTGTTAAAAGTTGCTAAGCAGGGGACTGGTGTCATCAGAGCTGGTGGCAGGTGCACTGATGGATGGCGTAGAGAGACTAGAAGCACATCCTTTGGGCCTGTGGGAAGCTCCAATATAAATGAACGTGGGAAGCAGGAAAAGGTCCTGTCCCACCAGCTCAATTGATTAGAGTGTCGTTCCCTATATGCCAAGGTTGTGGGTTTGATCCTTGGTCAGGGCACATATGAGTGAACCAATGAAGGCATGCATTGGTGGCACAATGAATCAATGTCTCTCCAATCTCTCACTCCCCCTCCTGCCCTTCCCCTCTCTCTCAAAAAAAAAAAAAAAGTTCCTGGGAAGTGATTGGTAAACAAGAAACAGGACTTTCAGGTCCGCTGGCCAACTTAGCGGTTTAGCCTTCTGCCCTTCCACAGACTTGACCCACACCTTGATTCTAGCACTTTATGCACAAGTGAAATTAGGGGTGCCCACAAAACTCAGTGACAGTTTGGCAAGTTGGACCCCTGTTCTGTGATACAGGCTCTGGGAATTGGATGAAGACCCTTCCCCCCACCACCACACACACACACACACACACTCTTACCCCATCCTGTCCCCATCCTCCAGAAGCATGGAATCTAGTGAGAAAGAGCACTAGCCTGGAGACATAAGAGACCCAGGTGTGCATAGCAACCTGCCAACCTTACCACTCCTGGTCTCCTGACCTGGGCCTCAATTTTCTGAGAGATGAGGAAGAGCATGGATGGAGCGCGGCAGCGCACAGTGCTTGGCATAGACTCTGGTTCCGTTGGTGGCATCTGTTCTTTAATGGTTGTTATCCCTTTAGTGGATGACTCCCACAAGGCCAGGAGTTCCTCCAGGGCACAGATGAGGTTCGCTCACCTCTGCATCCCAGCACCTCGTTCAGCAGCCCCTATTCGTGTCCACGGCAGGAATGAATGAGAGGAAATCAAAGGCTGGAGCTCTTAGAGGTCGTTGCCTTTTAGAGGAATGATATTTACATCAAATAGTGTCCTGTGACATGAGATTTACCCTCAGTTCTATTCTCAGGCCAGAGGGAGAGAACATCCTCTTTTACTTCAATTTGCCTGTGGAATTCTAAAATATTTTAAAAATTCAGTAAGATTTTTCTATGTAAAGTGCTTGATCCAGCACTCAGAGCACAGGAAAAGGTCAGGAAACCTTGATGCCAGCTTTGATGTGTTCTGTTTGCCTGCCTCCCCGTCCAGGCACCAGACTCCAGGGTGGTTCATCCCTGTCCTCGGTGCACACACAGCTCACGCACGCACGCAAGGCATCTGCTGGCCTCAGGAGGATGGGAGGAGTCCAGTGACCAGAGTGTAACCACATGTTTTCTCTCTCCTGGGCCTTCCAGGGAATGGGCCCTGGGCCTGGGACTCTCACAGAGCCAGGCCTGCTCTGGGAAGAGCACCTGCTGTCCCCCCAGGCTGCCTGAGCCCTCTGACGATGGCTGCGAGGGAGGAGGAGGAGGAGGACGATGAGGAAGCCTGGCTGCAGCTTCGTCCTGTGGAGCCCCTGCCCTCCCAGTGCTGCGGCAGTGGCTGCTCACCCTGTGTGTTCGACCTCTACGACCGAGACCTGGCGAGGTGGGAGGCAGCCCGAGCCAGCAGGGACAGAAGCCTGCTGAGAGGGAAGGAACTGCCGGTAAGGGACTCCTCAGACAGGAGGGCGAGGGCGGCAGCATCTACCCGGCCTCAGGTCTGCCAGGACAGCCTCTCCCTGGGGAAACTGGGACAGGTGCCTGCCTGTCTCTTGAGTCCCACTTCCTAGCTGCTGGGTATTTTCCTGTTGCAGAACTTGCCCTCTCGACTCAGCCCGGAGACGTTCCTGGCCTTCCGCATCAGTGCCTTGGACAGACTCACTCAGGACACCTACCGGGTGCGGTTTGCACTGCCTGGGAGCAGCCAGCTCGGCCTGCGGCTCGGCCTGCGGCCCGGCCAGCACCTCATCCTACGGTACACTCAGACTCAGGTAGTGGGAGGATCAAAGCTTTGCAGCCCCGCTTTGCCATTTGCTAGCTGCAGGGCCTCAGGCGATGGCTTACCCCCCTCCACCCAATCATCTTCAAAGTAGACACAGTAATACTTGACTCAGAGGGTTCTTGGGGTTGAACAAGAATGCATTTTCATAATAAGTAATAAAAATAGCAAACTCTCACAGCACATACTATCCAAGGGACAATTCTGTGTGCTTATGAGGTCGTTTAATTCTCACAAAACCCTGAGAAGAAACCGAAGTCACAGAGGTTTAGTAGCTTGCCCAAGCTCACACGGTCAGGAAATGGTGGAGCCAGGACTGGAAGGCAGGTAGTGCGACTCTAGCGCCTGTGGTATTAACCTGTGTGATTGGCACCAGTCGATAGAGAGGACCCTGTCTTTGAGAACGGGGGACTTGCCCAGTATCACCTCGCTGATAAGTTGTGGAGCCAGCATTCAAGCCCAGACCGCCCAGCTCCTGAGGTACACTCTTAACCACTCCCCTGGAGTTTCTTCTTCCTCCCAGGCGCCTGTGTACACCCCTCCCATCTGTCTCCATCTTCCCCTGCCCAGCACAAAGACCCTTTGGGACCTCCCGAGGGCAGTAACTCTGAGGATGAGAGGCTCAGCAGGGAGATCTGAGCTGCAGACATGGGCATGGGAGTCATTGGCATCTACCTGGACAGCATTTGGGAGCATGTGGCATGGGAAGAGGGAAGGGCAGGGAACCCAACCCTGGCTGCTCTAGCATTTACGGAATTGGCAAGAGGAGAAAGAGCCAGCTAAGGAGACAGAAGGTGAAGCCAGAGGATGAGGAAAACCCAGAGAGTGCATATTACTGGTCACCCTCTGGCCACTCACCTTGCACTGATCCCTGGTGTTCGTGCCCAGCTTGTTTTGGCCTGTGGCCTGGCTGGCAGTCCTTAAAGCTCACCATTCCCATGGATGGGAGGGGCCAGAGGGCAGGTCCCTCAGCCTGGCCTGCACCCTCTCGCAGTCCAGGAACCTGTGCTCCTTACCTCCTGTCTGCTCCCTGCTCCTTACTGCTCAGCTTGCTGCTCCGTGGTGCTTCCCCAGAGGCAGAAGAAGCTCCCACCTCGCTGCTCTGCTCACTAGCCTGTGAGCCTGACTTCTAACTGAACAGTGGTTCCCCTGAGGGAGCGCACTGACCACCAAGGGGCAGTTCCTGCATTGAGCGTCTGCCCCCTGGTGGTCATTGCACATCATAGCGACCAGTTGGTCTGTTGTTCCGCCATAAAAGTAGCTTAGGCTTTTATATATATAGGTGACCTGCAGGGGTGGGGGAGATGCATCCAGCATGAGGTAGCAGGGGACCCGGTGCTCTTTTCCCCTGCTTGCCCCTCAGTGAGGACCACTGGGGATGACCAGGCCCACCTTTGCTTTCACAAAGCCTGGTGGAGTGGATCCTAGGTGGGTTTGTTGAATGCCTGCCTGCCTGCCTGACTGAGTGCTTCTCTCTCCCAGAGGGATAGTAGATGGCTTAGAAATCCAGAGAGCCTACACACCCATCAGCCCTGCCAATGCAGAAGGCTACTTTGAAGTTTTGATCAAGGTGAGCTGACTCACGCGATACTCTGAGCTGTGGGAGGAAGCCCCCATTGGCTGGTTTGGGTGGGATGGGGCCATTCTTCCTGATGTGGAAGAGAGGGGGCAGTGAGGAAGGGCTTCTCCCATCTCCTTCCTGGTGAAGGGGTCTGCTCGACCCCCAACGGAGGGCTTATTCCTGACAGATTTTATGAAAAGGAGCCTCAGACTGAGCAAGTGAAAGCTGCTCCTCATTTTTGTGCCTGTCGATGGAAAGAGCTCTGAGCTTGGGGGCGGGGAGGTGGGGACACACTGTGTGCTGGGCATGGGGGTCCTCAGACAGAGGAGCAGCCAGAGCAGGACAGGGTGTTAGATACATTGCCAGGAGGCCCAAGTGCCGCTCAGGGTGGCAGGAGCTGTGGGAAGCAGGCTGGGCCTCCCTGCAGAGGATGCGGTATGTGCAAAGGAGTGGGAACCAGAGGGAAAGGTGGGCGGAAGCTCTGAGTGTGGGAACTGCATGTGCCACGGAGAAGGAGGCCCGAGGGGGGAACTGCTTATCATTTGTCCCGAAGCGGAAGGGGGCATGCAAGGAGAAGGGGGATGTGGAGCGCCTTGTGGACCACACTAACCTGAGTTACTTCTCGGGAAGGCGGGCAGGGGCTGAGGCATTTGAGTTGGGTCTTAAAGGAGGCGTAGAAATGGGCAGTGGCAGGGGATGGCATCGGGGCCAAGGGTATGGGTAAGCCAAGGCGGGGAGAGGAGAGACAGAGCAGGGTCTTGTGGGAACTGTTCCCAGTCTGAATGGCAGGAGGAAAGGTGCTGGTGGGGCAGCCAAGGTGGTGAGGGGGTTGGCAGAGACGACATGAACAAAGTGGATTGGATACAAAATACCCCAGAGGCCCAGAGAATAGGCACCAAATATATAAGAAGTCATGACGGTCCAATTATGTGGGGAAAAAATAATTAGGTGGAATTGCATGAAATTGCTGATCCTCTTAATATTTTTGACTTACAGAAACAGCAGTTTCATCTGGGTCGGCCTAAGACATAGCCCTAGATCATCATTTCCCACATGCAGTCTCAGGGAACTCCTGCGTTTAAGAATAGCTTTCACATCCTTTTATCTCCCCCGTAGGACAGGGATTATCCCCATTTCATTGATAAGCAAACTAAGGCCCCAGGAGAACCTCAGGCGCCACAGCTAGTAAGTGTGGCAGATGGTGAGCCCTGGCCTCCTGACTCCAAGACCCCAGGGCTGTCTCTGGCTCCCGCCTCCCCCGCGGCCCTCAGAGCCCGAGTGTTTACTCCTCGCTCATAAGCTTGGATGGGATCCCTTCTCCGCACAACTGTTTGTCTGGAAGATCCCACAAATCCTCTCCAAATGGCCTGCTTCCCCAAGATGCTCGTCTGGGAGTGTGACGGCTGAAAGGATAAGCCTGGAGACAGCTCCCTCCCAGCTGCAAGGCTGCTCCTCTCCTTTGTTTCCCAGAAAGCCTCTCTGCAGAGGGATGCTTAATTACCCCTAAGCCGCTGGCTGGGAAGAGCTGGAAATGTCTTTGCAAATTGGGAAGGCAGATGGTGTTAGGTTTGCCCTCCCCGGTAGATGAGGAATTCCCAATTCTCAGGCACCTCCTGGGCACCAGGCACCGCTTCTGGCTCTTCACTGTTTCATTTCAACTCATAACCACCCTACAGAGTAGATCATCTCCCCATTTTACAGAGAGAGAAGCTGATCCTCAGAGGGGTGTAGTCATTCTCCCCAGACCCCTAGGGTTATACAATGCCGAGTGGGAGAATTAATAAAAAAAATTAATTTAAAATTAATTTTAAAAATATATATATACACACAAAAGTTCAGTGTCCGTCCTGGTTAACTAGTGTGTGATGAGCCAGGCTCTGTGTGGGCTGTGCCTCTGCTGAGCCTGGGGCCAGAAAGCAAGGTGTGCTCGGAGACAGCCTCCAGCAAGGTAGGGGAACTGTAGCTTCCCTCCCAACCCTCTTCCAGGTGAGCCACGCCAGGACTTCAGGCACATGGTGTCTAAGGAAGTCAGGGGTGGTACCAGAGGTAGCTGTGGGTGCTTAAAAGCATGTCTGGTGACCAAGGCCCAGTATGGTTATAATATATCAAACACTCTCCCAATCCTGTGGTTCAGTGCTTCCCTCCTACCTCCACCCTATTGTGTCCACTTGCTGTCCCTAGCACATGGCCTGAGCTGTCCTACCCCTGCCTGTACCATACTTGATGCCCAGAATTCTCTCTTCCTCTCCTTCCCGTTCCCAGAGAATTTGATCTTGCCCAGTTTTCAAAAACCAGCTCAAACGCTTCCTCTTCCAGGAAGCTATTCTTTTTTTTTTAAATAAAAAAATATTTTTATTAATTTCAGAGAGGGAGAGAGAGATAAAAATATCAATGATGAGAGAGAATCATTGGTCAGCTGCCTCCTGCATGCCCCCTACTGGGGATCAAACCAGGGTATGTGCTCTTGACCAGAATCAAACCTGGGACCCTTCAGTCCACGGCTGATGCTCTGTCCACTGAGCCAAACTGTCTAGGACAGGAAGCTGTTCTCTCTCTCTCTCTTTTTAAATATATATTTTATTAATTTTTTTTACAGAGATTAAGGGAGAAGAATAGAGAGCTAGAAACATCGATGAGAGAGAAACATCAATCAGCTGCCTCCTGCACAGTCCTCACTGGGGATTTGCCCACAACCAAGGTACATGCCCTTGACCGGAATCGAACCTGGGACCCTTGAGTCCCCAGGCCGACGTTCTTTCCACTGAGCCAAACCATCTAGGCCAGGAGGCTATTCTTGATCCTGCTCCATTGGAAGTGACTGCACCTCTTCAGTGTTCTCCCCGCACTTTCTGCTTCTCACGCAGTATTAGGTAGTCTCTACCGTGTGTATGTCTGAGACAGGTTCCTCCTGGATTGTGAGCTCCTTTAAGGGAGGGCCTGAATCTGAATACTGAATGATTGGTAAATGCACTCATTCATTCATTTGTTCATTCATATATTTATGGCTGCCTTCACGGAGCTTCAGGTCCAGCTGTCTTCTCTGCAGCCTCCGCCTGGTGCCTGGCTCAGCGTGGGCAGGCCCACAGAAACCGTAGTCTGCCTCCTATGGCAGTCTCCACATCCTTCATTTTTTCACCCAGTGTAGGGTAATGCAGAGATTTCAAATGAGTGGTCTACACACTGATTCCAGCCCGTAATTGCATTTGGTTTTGGCCTGTAGAGTGTTTTAAAAATTTGACGTGATTGCTGGCATTTCAAGTGTGGGAGATTTAACATAAAAATAAGGATGCTTTGCTCCTGTGGGAAACCAGATCTGGCATCATCCGCCCCACAAACCGAACTGGAACCTACAAAGTGACTTCTTCCTTTAGAAGGAGCATTCACTCCCCAGTTTACCACAGTCCCTACCGTTCCCTGCTGCCCTCTGGTACTGCCACTGAGTGTTAGTTGTCACTGACCATTTCATACCCAGCTCTTCACTCAATTACGTTACCTGTTTGGGCCCTGAGTTGTGTGGGTTGAGACCTCTGCAGTTAGAGCTGAAGGTCCTTTGGATTCTCATCCCAGCCTCACCATTTCCCTTCTGTGTAAGCTTCGGGGCCTCCTCTGAAACTTGGGGGGGGGCAGTACTAATTCTGTGGGATGAGGTGCCACTGGTAAAGTACTCGGATTGCAGAAAGGGCTCCGCAGGAGAGGCCGGTGTGGTTTGAATGGCAGCGTTGCCCATCCCGATGCAGTCTCCTGTGTTTGCTCCCAGTGCTACCAGACTGGGCTCATGTCCCGGTATGTTGAGTCCTTGAGAGCAGGAGACACGGCTTTCTGGCGAGGACCTTTCGGAAACTTCTTCTATAAACCAAACCAGGTCAGTGCCAGCATACTGGATCCTCAGGAGACCCCCCTCCCTCCTTCCTTCCTCCCTCTCCCCTCCACAACCCAGCTTAGCCTCCAGGACTGCAGCAGCTTCCAGTTTTGGGTTTCTGAGTCTCACTGTGCCATTCTTCCTGAGCCCAAACCCAAGCCCGAGAGCATCCTTGGGGCTGGACATGGGAGGCAATGGAATAGGCGCTAAGAAATAAAATGGCCTGCCCGTGCTCCAGAGCTGTCCATGACTGCCCACCTCTTAGGAAACTCAGACTCACGTCCTTGGTATTTAAGACCGATTCCATCTCACCCTCACGTATCTTTCCAGATGCACATTCCTGTTACAAGACCACAGAGACCGCCCCCTGATCCGGTCTCATGGCTCACTGCCTGGGAGGCCACTGCTTCCCAGCTGGGAAGGCTCTTCTCCTTATCTTCACGCTGCGCTCAGAGGCTTCCTCCTGTTCCCGGGAGGAATCAGTAATTTTGCATCAGTTGGTGCATATCTGGAAGGCAGTTTGGCAGTAGGAAGAGTCTTAAAAATCTCTGACCCAGTAATTCCACTTCTGGAAGTCTGTCTGTGGGAGGAATCCAAAGTGCTGACTCTTGCACATGTTCATTGCAGCTTTATTGATGATAACAAGAAATTGGAGATAGCTGGGTATTCAGCCACAGGGGAACATTTAAGTACACTGGGTTACAGGTACTTAAAAGCATTATCCTGGATTTTAAAATTGTGTTTATAATTGATATTATATGTTTATGTTATAAGATCAAGTGACAAACACTAGGCACAAAACTGAATAGACACCAGACTGGGAAATTAAGTTAAAATGCACAGGAAAAAAAATATGGAAAGAAAATGCAATTAAATGATAGCATTATTTCAGCTCTGGGTGATGAAATAAGGGGTGATTTTTTATTTTCTTCATTAGACTTTCCAAATTCTCCATGATGAACACCTATTACCTTTCTAATTAGGAAAACAAAGTAAAACAAAAAAACAAGGAAGAGAATGAACCACTCCTCTCCATTCTTTTTGTTTGAGTTAAAAATAGCTTTTATTATTTGTTTTTCCTTATTATAAATGCAATACATGTTCATCGCACACACACAAAAAATCAACAGATATAGAGAGAGACAATAAGAAGGAAATAAAAACACCTGCAGGCCATCTAACCAGACATATCAGTCTGACTACCTTGGCATGTATCCTTCTAGATTCTCTTCGGTGCATCGGTGTATGTACTACCTTTGTGCGTGTAGTGACATCACGCATGTAGGTGCCAGGTTCTGATGTGAATCCTCACAACTGCTCCTAATACTGCTACCCTCATTTTACAGATAAGGGGTGTGCATATGCATAGTATATTTTTATTGACTTCAGAGAGGAAGGAAGAGGGAAAGAGAGAGAGAGAAACATCAATGATGAGAGAGAATCATTGATTGGATGCCTCCTGTATGCCCCCACTGGGGATGGAGCCTGCAACCTGGGCATGTGCCCTGACCAGGAATCAAATCTTGACTTCTTGGTCATAGGTGAACGCTCCACCACTGAGCCATACTGGCCAGGCAGTTAATACTCTTCTACAATATTCTCCTAGCGCTAACCATTTCAGCCTTGCAATTTAGTTGAGGATGTCCCTGTGTCTCCCAGACTTAAGAGCAGGCACTGAGGATCTTCCGTTTCTCCCAACCTTGAGGTGCGCCTGATGGAGGTGATCTTCACCACCTTTTCTGGGTGCAACCTCTCCATGCCTCGTGGTTGCTCCTCTGCATCCACAGAACGCGGATGGAAAGCCCCGGCACTTCCTATCTAGGGAGGATGTAGGGCCCAGCAGTGAGATGGAAGAGATGGGGTCCCACACATTGACACTGGCCCCTGAGAAGGCTGGGGTGCTCAGCCCTCTTCCCGGCCCTATCTTGCTTCTCTGCAGTTGTCTTCATTGCAGATGGACATCAAGTCAGCCTGGAAGACTGACACATTAGTATGGATCTGTGTGTTCCTCCACACACATCTCCATGTCTTCATCCAGGGCTGGGCCCAAAATGGGTCAGACAAGACCCCTGTACTCCAGAAGCTCTTGGTCTATCGGGGAGACTGACACCCCCACAGATGACAACAGCACAGCATGGTCCATAGGGGGCTGTGGGGAAAGCAGGAAGGACCCCTCACCTGTCCCTGGCTCAGGGAAGGCTTCCCAGGGGAGCCCCGGAGCAGCAGTGGGAGGAGGAGGACCAGGGTAGGCTAAGAACCAGAAGACTGGAAGGGCAGGGATTCGGGGCTGGATGGTATGGCCGCAGTAGGGGCTCAGAAAGGGGAAGGAATCCGTGGGAAGGATCTTTGTAGTCTGGAGAGGCAGGCTCAGGTTTCCCTGAGACCTCTGCAGAGAGGAAGCAGCCCAAGTGCAGGGCCCGCATGGCGGCCGTGGGCAAGGCTGAGCTGAGAGCAGGTTTTAGCTCAATGGGAGGTGGGAAGACCTCCCTGTCAAAGAGGTCAGTCTGTAATAGAGCAAGCTGACTCCCAAGGTACTGGGCTACCTGTCAGCAGAAGCAGGTAGAGTCCTGTGGGGATGCTTTAACAGGAAAACAAGCCACTGTAGGATGGGCTATACCTTCCCTTTCAGCACCAGATTCCCTGATTTCTGTTAACACGGACCTTCAAGAAGAGGCTGTAGACTAACAAGCCAGGCGGTATCCTAGAGGAGGCAGGGGGGCCACCCAAAGAGAGGAGCACTGGGAAGGGCAGGGCCCTCCGGTTCAGGCAAGCCCAACAACAGCCCCAAGGTGTGGTGAGACACCGCCCCCCCAACCCTTCCTGTTTGTACCCCTCCTGTTCCCCAGTATGGTGAGCTTCTCATGCTGGCGTCGGGCACCGGCCTGGCCCCCATGGTGCCCCTCCTGCACAGCATCACAGACAATGCGGAGGATGAGACCTTCGTCACCCTGGTCGGCTGCTTCAAGACCTTCGAGGGCATCTACCTGAAAACCTTCCTGCAGGAGCAGGCCCGCTTCTGGAACGTTCGCACCTTCTTTGTTCTCAGCCAGGTGAGCCCCGGGTGGGCGGTGACTTCCTTTCCCGACTGAGGCTGCCCTCTGCACCTGTCCCGAGGCTGCTGTGGCCTCTGTGCCCGGCTGCAGTGATCCAGTCCCCACCGTGGGCCTGGCAGGGAGTTCTTTATGCAGATGAGGAAACATGCTCAGGAGGATGGAGGTGCTGCCGGATGGGGCACAGCCAGGATTGGAGCCTGGGACACTCTGACTCCAGAGCTCCAGCTACCCCCCATCATGCTTTGCTGCCTGTCATCCGCCCTCTGACATCAGCAGTTGTGTGATCTGGGGGTCTGGTTGTGGAGTGAGTGGCCAGACCACAGAACTCCTTGATGCTGTGATCAACTCCTTGAGGCAGGGACCACCTGTCTGGGTCACCACACTCCTCAGGGTTTAGCACAGGGCCAGGCACAGAGCAGGCACTGCCTCCGTCCACGCCCACTGTGCTTCTTAGGGTCCCTGCCACATCACTTTGCCCCTGCCTGCGAGGAGAGCTGCTTTCCAACTCTCCTGGCTGCAAACACTCTAGCTGGAAGCGATTCTGCCTCCTGAGCCCCCTGCCTCTGGCTCCCCATCCCCTCATTCACTCAGGCCTTCCCAGCCCTCCCCTGTGGGCCCTAATAGTTTGGGGGCCCATCATGGCCCTTATGTCAAGCCCAGCCCTTAGCTCTCTCTGTTCACCTGCCTTCCCCTGTCAGTAGCTTTATTTCCCTTTCCTGCAGCCTTGGGTTTGGGTGCCCTGCTGGCGCCTCCCTCCGTGCTCTGCTGCTCAGGGTCAGCCTCATTGCCCTGTACATTGGACCACCCTTCTCATCAGTTTCCTCTTTGAGTTAGCTTTCGAGTGTTCCTAAAGACGTCTGTGATCCTTGATGTCTGTGGCTGGGTGGGCGTGTCAGGAAACTGGGTTTCCCTTCCCAGTACCAGAGGCCCGGGGGTCCCCAGGGGCCGGGGTGTGCTGGCCTGTCCGCAGTATGGAGTTGTCGAGAGGGTCGTGCTTGGTGCACGTGAGCAGCAGCAGCAGTGCCCAGGCAGGGCAATGAAGCAGAAGGCCGATGCAGCCTGAGGGAGGGGCTGAGGGAAAGGCCACTGCTGCCCGGCGGCCCCCTCCCCCCTGCCCGAGGGCCTAGACAGGGAGGGTGGCAGCTGGGGCAGGAAGCTGGCACCTGGCAGAATCGCCCCGCTTCCTTTTTCCAAACCACATTCCAGGTGCCGAGGGAAGAGGAGGGTGGCCTCCTCTCTCCCATTCAGCCATCACCTATTCATGGGAGACAGCTACAGGGAGGGCTGACAATGGCTTCCCCTTCTTGAGCTCTTCCTCTGCGCCTGGCACTGTTCTAAGTATTTTATGTGTGTTAACGCATGTAACCCCCCACCACAGTCTTAGGGGTTTTGTGCTGCCATCACACCCATTGTACAGATGTGGAAACTGAGGCTCAGGAGATTTAAGAACCTTGCCCAAGGTAACAGCCAACTGGTAGAAAGCTGGATGTGAATCCTGGTGGCCCTACTCCAGAGGCCCTGCCCTTACTGCTCGCTCATCAGTGTAAGACAGCACAGGGCTGGGTGCTGCTGAGGGTGTTCAGGATGCTGCAGCAAGCAGGGAGGGTTTCACAGAGGAGGTGGCTCCCGAACCTGGGCTTGTGGGTAGAGTTCAAGTTCACCAGCAATAGAGGGCCTTCAGCCTTGAGCTGGGGCCTGGATGATGCCAGGGGCCTGGGATGGGGTCAGGCGAGTGGGCTGGCCATCAGTGGCAGGGATGATGGAGTGAGAGGCACCTCCTGTTCGTCCGCACTCCCTCCACACAGGATGCTCCCCTCCTGCCTGGACAGCTTGAATCTTGAAGCGTTTCCCTGCTCCAGACACCCCCCTGTTGATTTGTCCTTCATCCTGCAGCTGGGAGGGCAACTCTGACACACCTCCGCCTGCTTCCAGCCCTTCCCTGGCTCCCACTGCTCTCAGCTGGCATGGCTGTGCCAGTCCTCTGCCGCCTTGTCTCCAGGCACGCCCTCCCTGCGTGCTGCGTTCTGGTGGCACTGGTCTGCTGAGCTGGCAGGTATCTGCCCTTCTGGCTGCTGGGCCTGTGCTCACCACCGTTCCCTTTGCCAGGAGGGAGTACTCTTCCCCACTTCTTCACCCAACACTACTCATCCCCTATCTTCTCATCCAGGAAGCGGAAGTGCTCCCTGAGCCCTAGGCTGCATAGATGTTTCACCTGTCACTGCCTGGGCTCTCCTCCTTCACAGCACATTGTTTACCGTCCCCTCCCCACCTGGGCAGTAACCAGACACTGTGCATCTCAGGGTGTGCAACTGAGGAGGGCGGAGCCAGCCTAACTGGCCTGAGGGAATGGGGAAGGAGAGGGAGGCCAATGGTTCCTGCCCTGAAGGGCCCATAGGGTGTGTGAGAGCATGGAGGGAGCCAGGAAGATCCAGGTCCTCCGAGGAAGCCCTGTCAGCACCACATTGCTGTGCTCAGAGGGCCCCCAGGGTCCGAGGAGCTCTGAGGTGGGCTCCCAGGCTCTGGCCTGCACCTGAGATTAGAAGTTGCCCTCACAGAGCTTCTGCCAGGTTTCTCATCACTCCACTCTCACCACACGGCTCAGAGAGGTCACTGTCACTCATCCAGGCGTGGCAGCAAAGTCAGATCCAAACCCAAACCTGAACCCGTACCATTTTCCTTCCTGCCTCTGCTTAGCCAGGAACTAGAAGCGCAGAAGTCTGAGTGGTCCCATTCTGTTGGTTTTGTTTTGTTTTGGGTACTGGTTACATGAGTTCCTCGTTCAAGTTCCTCAAACTACATATACTACCATTTTCTATCCGCATGTTACACTTCAGTAAAATGTTTATCTAAAGAAATCCCTCCACGTTGGTGGCAGCAGAGCTTTCCTTTGGTGGCCCTGAGGCTGAAAGCCACAGCCCAGGCCCATAGCACAGAAGGAGCTGGCCCTGGTCCCTCGGCTCTGTGCAGCCCGGACCACCGTGGGAGGCATAGACCCCCCTCCTGGCCAAGGCGCTGTTGTGGGAGCTCTGATCTGCATGAGGCCTGTTCAGAGCACTGCCCTGTCCCCAGACCTACCACAGAACGAGGCACAGAGTGACCACCCAGGAAATACTGGTAAACCAGCATGTTAACTGACACCTTAAAACAGGTGAACGCCAGTGATGCTCCCCGGTTGATGGTATAAACAGCCTTGGAGAGAGGCTGGGAGACCCACAGTAATGGGGAGCAAACACTCCCCCCAGAGGGACCCCCAAAGGCAGTGAGAAACAATGGGGCCTGAGTTCTGCCTCTGCTCCTACCTCCCTGTGTGGCCGCCCCAATGTCCCTCCTCCCTGTGCCTCCCCTGTTGTAGGAGGGTAACTACCCACCTACAGGCTGGCGGTGGGGGTGCTGTGTCCGGCGTGAGCAAGGGCCTGACTTGTGATAGGGCTAGGCGAAGGTTAGCTTCCCAGCCCCTCTGCCTCAGTTTCCTCATTCGGCAAGGGTAGCTGTGTGTGAGCTCTAAGGACCCCCGGTAGTCACCCCCTCACTGTCTCTCACCATCCCAGGAGAGCTCCCCGGAGCAGCTGCCCTGGAGCTACCGGGAGAAGACCCGCTTCGGCCACCTGGGCCAGGACCTGGTCGACGAGCTGGTTGGCTCCTGCCGGAGAAAGCCGTTTGCGTTGGTCTGTGGCTCGGCCGAGTTTACCAAGGACATGGAAGGGTGCCTGCTGCGCGCGGGCCTGGCCGAGGACTCCTACTTCCTCTTCTAGGCCTGGCCTCCCTGGAAGCCCAGGCCAGGGGCCTGCCAGGGAGACCCAGGGAGGAACACGGGCCGGAATCAGAACACCCGACAGAGGACCACAGCTGCCTCGCCACGTGGTCTCCGCGCACCTGTTTCTCACCTGCGGCCTCCCTCAGCCGGCATCCTGCAGTGTGGAGGGAGGAGGGAGGCAGGAGCCTGGGGAGGAGTAGCCGCTGGGAGTCCGGAAGGAGTCCTGGTCCAGGCTGAGCCGCAGGGCGGGGAGGGGCCAGGAGAGCTCCCCTGGTTCCTCAGGTTAGAGGGCTTGTGGGGGCTCCCATTGGACCGTGCCCTGTGCCTCCCCCCGGGGACGGAATCCCTGGGAGGCCTCAGGGCTGGCTCAGTGACTGTCCCTTAACTGCAGGGAATGACCGCAGGGGCAGCTGAGGGCTCTTGGGAGGAGGAACTTGCCTTCTGTGCCTCCAGTGGCAGGGGCCTGACACAAGGATGGTCTTGGGTTCTGTGACCTGACCCATTCCTGGAGCGAGGGGGGGCTTTGGGTTACCTTTGTTTTGTATTGGCCCTGGGCCCTCCCTGCTGCGAAGGGCTTCGCTCAGTCTCCCTTCTCTAGAGCCCAGCCCAGAGTCCCTTTTCCAGCCAAAGAGCCACAGACACAAACGCCCCTCCTCCTGCAGGCAGCCAGCTCAGCCCTCCCTTCAGCTCTGGTGCCCTGGAGACGGTTGCTATGGAGATCTAAAGATAGAGCAGGAGTCAGGAGACCTGGGTCCTTCTCCCTGCTCTGCCCACTGAGTGGATGCTGATTCTGGCCCACCCACCCCTCCCGTCCACCCCGGCTCCCGCCCCCTCCATCCTGCGTGGGGCGTGCCCTCCCCGGGGAAGCGGGTGCCCCTGGGCAGCGCACTGCAGCTAATGAATTCTGCCTTTTGCAGCCAGGCTCCAGTGCCTGCACCAGCTCAAGCTGGCCGCAGGCAGTCCCAGAATCAGAACATTAAGTCAGGGAACCTCGGGATGAGAGAACCAGAGAATCATCTAGTTAGAATTTTACCGTCAGACAGTCCCAGGCCTCCTCATGTCAGAGGTTAAAGTCCAGGACTCCGGAGAGCACCTGGTCTGTCAGACTCGGTGTGTCAGTGAGGAAACTGAGGGCTAATGAGGCTGAGTTGACCAGACCAAGGAAAACCGTTCACGGCGGGGCCAGCAGCAGAAGCCAGGTCTCCGAGTGGCAGCCTGTGCTCAGTGGTTTTCAAACTGGGCTCCGCAGGACACGAGGGTTCCTGCAGTGGCAGCAGTGACGGGATGGCCAGACGGGGTCTCCAAGCCCTGCTTTATCAGAGCGGTCTTATTTTTACCCCGTTTATGTTTTGGTGCTGGGATTAATTTTCACTCATGAAAAAAAGGTCTTCCTTGCACCGCCCCAAAAGTTGCAACAAATCTGTGTGCTGTGCCACATCCAGTAACTAATCACAACAAGCAGTTGGGGGTGTTGCCAAGGGTTTCAGAGGCGCAATTCCATGGTCAGATCTGGGGGGGATCCTGACTGTGTGACCTTCCCGGAGAATCACATGTACGCGAGGGCAGTAAAGGCTCTGAAAGTCCGATGGTAAAGGGACTTCTTCACTGTGTTTCACCGTGTTTTGCTGTGGACCGTTGTCCACGGGAGTCTGTGGGCTGGCGCTCCGGGGGATGTGCTTGGGAAAGCGGCTGCCCAGCAGCTCTCTCAGCACCGTGTGCGTGGGGGGGGGGAGAAGAGGGGGCCACGCTGCGTCAGGCCAGCAGGAGCTGTGCTCTCCTTTGGCCTCGCCTGGGATGTGGACAAGACATGCTTCCTCTCTCGGGGCCTCGGAAACCTGGTGTCGTCCCCACGCACTCCTCTCCCTCAGCTCATCTCGCTGGCTCTCCTCGCGGGGACTCCTGGGGGTCCTGTTATGAGCCAGGCTCTGTTGTAGGCACCGAGGAAGCAACAGGGAAAGGCAGGTGAGTTCTAGGAAGCTCCTCCCGGGAGCTGACAGCCCGAAGAGAGAGCAGGTGCGAACCTGTATGCCAGGGCCGCGTGCTCTGGGCAGGGACATGGGGAGTAGACAGTGAGGGCCAGGGGCCTCCCTGCACTGAGTGGGTGAGGGTATTACCTCTCCAAAGGGGGGTCCCTGCTTGAGGGGTGGGGAGTCTGGGGCAGTTCTTGTGTCTGTTTTGTCTCCTTTAGATACTTCCAGGTAGACATCACCAGGCTATTACAGCCCCTCTCGTCCTATAATGTCACCCTCCCCTCCCCTCGCTCCACGCGGATCTGTGCTACCTGGGTACGGTGGGTCTCTCCCCAGGGGCCGTAGTGGGGCCCCAGCCATGCCTGGTGCCAAGATGCCGATAGCGGATGTCTCCCGGAAACGAGGGCTTGTGGCCTTGCTGTGCCCCCCAGAGCGCTACGTGAGCCAGGAAGAGGACTGGTTGGGAGATGTGGGGGTGCACCTCTGAGTCAGGGCGAGGTTCCCGTCAGCAGCTCACCGCTGCCTCCTCTCCTGATAATGCTGCCGCTTGGGAGGTGTGCTGTCTGGGTGGGGGCGGCACAGGGACCGCGGCCTCAGCCCCCTTCACCGTGTCGCGCTGCCCTGCTCGCGCCACCTCACGGGTCTCCCCGCCTCCAGCCTCTCCCCACGCCCCCCTCACACTCAGCCAGACCATTCTTTTTTACTGCGGTGAGGACACTTAACGTGAGATCGGCCCTCGTAACGCGTTTTCAAGTGGACAGTGCTGACTGTGGGCACAGACCTCAGCGCACTCTCAGACACCCGAGCCTGTCACTCATTCCTTTGCGTAAGATCCTCCGGTGGCTCCCTGCCACCCTCGGGATACGGCCTCTTTGCTATTCCTTTTTACCGAGCCCTGACCCCCTGACCCCCAGCCCCTGTGTTTCAGCTTGTCCTCTTGCATCAGTCATTCCCTTCCCAGTGGCCGCTTCCGCTTCCCGGGCCACCCTGCCGCCCCGTCTCCTGTCGCCATGCGCCTTGGCCACCGTGTTTTCTGAGGGCTCAGCTCTGTCACTTCCCCCCCGAAGCCTTTCCTCCTCTGCCCTCCAGGCCAGAGGAGTGGGCAGGCTCGTGTGTTCCGTGTGGCACCTCTCAGACGGTCCCGTTTGCATGCGAGCACACCGAGGGCCCCTCCCAGGCCGGCTTGGTGAGTCCCCCGTGTGGGGGCTGCTCCGTACATCCTCAGTGTTTACCACCTGAATCATAAACAGCCGATACTCACGGAGTACTTTACAGGTTGCAAAAGGCGTTTACAGCTACACTGAAGCATGTAATTGTTGCCAAAATGCATTTTAGTATCCCGTTTCACTGATGAGGAAACTAAGCTTATGAGACAGTAAGCCATTCTCCAAGGTCATGTAGGGGTCCAGGCATTTCAGCACGCTATCATTGTTCTAATGATCACGTGACACACGAACGCACCGGGAGATGTGTGTAAAGATTGTCATGGCCACGCCGTTTGAAATAGCAAAGGATAAAAAGCACCTGTCTGTGCACCAGTAAGAGAATGCAGAAATGAGCTGAACTGTTCTACAGAGACCTGCACCGGAATACCGCACGGCAGTGAGGTGAGGAACCAGGCCTGCATGTGCCAGCACAGACTAAATCCTGAAGTGTAATAACAGGGGAAAGGAGGGACACAGTAAGATCACCACATTCAGAAAGTTTAAAAACACAAAATGGCGCCAAATACTCAGGGAGGAGACGCACCAACTTAAAGGACAGTGGTGAGCTCTGGCGACAGGGAAAGGGGTGGGGATGACGGGGGGAGGGGGAGTGAAGGGCTGTGACTGCGTTATAAGAATAATTGACATGCATATGAGCCTCTGGTGAAGCTGGGTGATTCTGCTTTATTACGTTCTACCTTTTCTCTGTTTGAAATAGTTCCATAGTCAAAGATTTAAAAAAAAAATAAGATTAAAAATACCTGCTCACAGTGCTTCCAAAACTAGAGGCTTAAAAATACTCATTTCGCCCGACCTGTGTTGCTCAGTGGGTTGAGCGTCGACCTGTGAACCAGGAGGTCAAGATTTGATTCCCAGGGAGGGCACATACCCGGATTACAGGCTTGATACTCAGTGTAAGGTGCACAGGTGGCAGATCAATGATTTCATTATTGATATTTCTCTCTCTCCCTCTCTGAAGTCAATCTATCTATATAAAAGCCTAATCGACCGGCACAACTGAATGGACGACCAAACAGGCTGGGTGGGGCGACCTGGCCAGCAGGGAGGGGGGTTAGTGAGGGGTGACCAAATAACTGAGCAGCAGGCTGCATGGGGCAACCAGGCCAGTAGGGGGGGCAGTGAGGGGTGACCAAACAGCAGGCTGCGTAGGGCAACCAGGCAGGTGGGAGAGGGGGGATTGAGGGGGGGCTGTTGGGCACAACCAGGTTGGTGGGGGTGGGCAGTTGGGGGTGATCAGGCCAGCAGGCAGAGGCAGTTAGGGGTGATAAGGCTGGCGGGGGGGGGGGGGGGAGGCAGTTATGGGTGATCAGGCAGGCAGACTGGTGAGCAGTTAGGAAACAGTCCAGGATTGTGAGAGACATCCTCCAAGGGGTCCCGGGTTGGGAAGGGTGCAGGCTGGGCTGAGTGAGCCCTCTTCTCCCCCTCCTCCCCCCAGGAATCATGTCAGCCTCTCTCGTCCTGTGAGATTTGTGCACTGGGCCTCTAGTAAGAATATATTTAAAAACAAACAACTTTCATTCCCTCTCTCCCACCTCAGGTTTTGCTGGTCCTTATATGCCTCCAAACTTTTCAATCTTTCGTTTGTGAGCACCTACTATGTGCTGGGCTGGCCCACATACAGCAGCAACTTCCACGCTGCTCCTTCTTTCTGCCTGCCCCCCTTCTTTTCCTCGGAAACTCAAACCAGAGTGACTTTCCAGACACCACAGGTAGGGTTCTTTTTTCCTTCTTTTTGTTTGTTGATTTATTTTCAATCCCCACTGAGAATATTTTCCCATTGATTTTTAGAGAGAGTGGAAGAG